CACCAGCAGTGTACAAGTGTACCCTTTTCCCCACATCCTCGCCAACACTTATTGTTGTTTGACTTCATAATGGCTGCCAATCTTACTGGAGTGAGATGGTTTCTTAGGGTGATTTTGATTTGCATTTCCCTAGAGCACATTCTTGAAGCTTTTATTATAGTTTTTCTTTTCTTTCTAAATGACAACCCTTTTTGCTGGGTAAGCTCTGATTCAAAGAATTAGAAATTAGTAAATTAATGAATCAGAAATTAGTAAATTAATAAAGCTTAGAAATTAGTAAATTAATAAGTATATATTGGACTGTCATTGCAACTAAATGAACATGAGGGTTAAATGTTTTAGACATTCAACTATAGTTTGTTTAAAATATGAAAGAGATGCCAATTTAATATATAATTAGAGTTTTTTTGAAAAATTTGTTTTAAAGTATAACAATACAAAATAGTGCATGGAGCCAGTGTGCTTGCTTTAGAATCCCAGCACTACATTTAACCAACTATATTACTTTGGGCAAGTTTATTCATCTTTTTCCAGAGTTTTCTCAACTGTAAAATGGAAATAATATGATAAATTGCCACATAAAGTTATTTTAAGGATTAAAACAAGTAATTTTTAAAAAAGAAAGCTATGAAGAATGACAAGACGCATGGAGTAACCAGGCTTTGTGGCACACATTTGTAATTCCAGTAGCGAAAAGGCTGAGGCAGGAGGAAGGCAAGTTCAAGGCCAACCTCAGTAATTTAGTAAGGTCATAAACAACTTTGTGAGATCCTGTCTCAAAATAAAAAGGGCTAGGTGTGTAACTCAGTCCCCTAGGGTTCAATAACCAGTATCAAAGAAAAAAAAATGTCATGAATACTAAGTAATTGTTACCTGCTATTATTAGTATTGGTACTAGTGGTAGTAAACTATTCCTCCTCTTAGTCTTATGAGAAATGTATAGATTAGAGATCTGTGTAATTATCTCAGTATGAAAGTGCCACATCTGTTCTTAAAGAACTCATACAAGAGTGCCACCCTTTTTTTAAGAAAGATAATTTCTAGAGCTAGTATTAGAGTCCTTTTGTTCTTAAATTTCCTTCTAAGGGGTGAATTTTTCTTCTTACTGACATGATATGAAACTCACAAACCTCAAAAGAACTATTCATTTCCAACTGCTACATTTCTGGATAGAAAAAGCTTCTTTCATTCTGCTTCAACTGCTCTTTATAGTAGCAGTGTTTGGGAAGTGTGAAGTGTTCTGACTATTTAACAAGAGAAATGAGCAGTGATAGAACTGTCTGGACAGATGGTGTGAGTCCCAGATTTTCTATCATGTTACCGTGACCTTAAAAGGCAGAGAAAAGAACAGGAGATGGCTGTGTGAAATAGTTTCTTTGGAAGATTCCCCTAGCCATATGCCATTTTCATTCTTTTCGGCACTGTTTACTTTAAGGAAATCTATTTTTAACACTACCATTCCTAGGGGGGAAGAACCCAAACCTTTAAAACTAAGGTAAGGGTCTTTTTATATTTTATAATACTGTATATTTTATTCATGTGTAGTTCATGCTGAGAAACATTATAGAAAGCATGCCATTTTTTAAGAGGCTGAAAGGAACTCTGGAGAGAAAGATTCTCTTCTTTCTAAACTTTACTCTGCATGCCTACAGAAAAATGTCTTGGTCATAAGATTGAATAATAATTTGAATATTAACAGCAAAAATAAAGATACAGCTAGCAGGGTATCTGTTAGATATAAGGCACTATGATAGGTACTTTATGTATTTAATTTTAGATAATCCTATATTGTCACAGTGGGCTAGGTATTTTCACCAGTTGTTAGACATGAGGAAACTACAGCTCAGAGAAGTAATTTTATTCAAGATCATTGGCCATGAATGTCAGAGCCAAAATTTAACCTCAAGCCTGTTCAACTTGAGCCTAAATGTTTTCTGCTAAGAGTTAAAAGGGTAAATGAGTTAATGTAACTCATTTAGAACAGTGCCCAGCACATTGTTAAATACCATGTCAGAATTAGCTACTGCTACTACTATCATTACTATGCGGCTATTACTACTGCTGGGCTGTATAGGCACAAAGCATAACATTTCAACACAGCACTGACTTAGTTTTCTATTCTCTG